GTTCTATCCTCCTGTCCCCTTGATTCTAACTACCAACCAAACACTTTCAGTTATCACTACCTGAACAGCTCCTGGTGAGAGAAAAAATAAAATGACAAGTGACTTAGGTGAATTGCAAATTTGGCTTTTCATCATTACCGTACACTGCAAATCATTCCTCCCCTCTTTTATTCAATAAGCATGTACTGAGATCTACATGCAAAATGGTGCAGAAGGCACTACATAGGATACCTAAGTGAATTAGACATGGTCAGGTTATGCCCTTAAGTAATGAACAGTCTAGTAGAGCAATTACACATGTTGGCCCTGGAATGTGTCTGAGAAATCCTCTGATTTTACAGATGAATACACCAATATGCAGATGAATTAAGTGATTTTTCTGTGGTCACGCACTTAGTGGTAGAACCAGTTTTAGAAGCCCATTTAGTTTAATTAATATAATTTAATTCTCAGTTGAGAGCTTGGTGTCATATACAATGTGACCATCCCTAGTTACCTAAAGCTGGATCCATGTAAAGTTCTTTTCAGCTTAAAATTCTGACTGCAGGATACACCTGAAAATTGTATAATATAGATGAAATGGATAAATTCCTAGAAATTGTGCACATTTATTGTGTACAAAAGCATAAACTAAAAGCGATAGAGGTTTTATCAAAAAGGGGATGACTGAATAAATTATGGTATGATCATACTTTGGAATACTATATAGCTATTAAAAGAATGAGTAATATGTATAGGATATACTTACAAATTGTATAATCTAGATGAAATGGATAAATTCCTAGAAATACACAACCTACCAAAACTGAATCATGAAGAAATAGAAAATCTGAACATACTTATAACTAACAAGGATATTGAATCAGTAATCAAAAACCTCCTAACAAAGAAAAGTTCAGAACCAGATGACTTCATTGGTGAATTACACCAAACATTTAAAAAAAATTAATACCAATCCTCTTCAAACTCTTTCAAAAAATTAAAGAGGAGGAAGTACTTCCAAACTCACTCTATGAGGCCAGCATTATCCTAATACCAAAGCCAGACGAAGCCACTGTAAGAAAACTACAGACCAATATTCTTGATGAATATTCATACAAAAATCCTCAAAAAATACTAGCAAACAGAATTCAACAGCATATTAAAAGGATTAAATGCTATGACCAGGCAAGATTTTATCCTGGAATGCAAAGATGGTTCAATACACAAAAATCAATCAATGTAATACACTACATTAACAGAATAAAGGGGAAAAAAACACATGGTCATCTCAATTAGTGCAGAAAAAGCATCTGACAAAATTCAAAACACTTTAATAATAAAAAGAAAAACCTTAACAAACTAGGGATAGAAGGAAGCTACCTCAACATAATAAAAATCATACATAAAAAGCCCACAGCTAACATCGTAATCAATAAGGAAAGACTGGAAGCTTTTCCAGATTAGGAACAAGTCAAAAATGCCCACTTTTGCCCATTCTATTTATTATAATACTGGAAGTCCTAGCCAGAGCAATTAGGCAAGAAAGAAAAATAAAAGACAACTAAATTAGAAAGGAAAAAGCAAATTATTTAATATATCTGTTCACAGATATGACCTTACATGTATAAAACCCTAAAGATTCCACACACAAAAAAATCTGTTAGAATCAATAAACAAATTCAGCAAAGTTGCAGATACAAAATCAATGCACAAAAATTGGTTGTGTTTCTATACACTAACAATGAACAATCTGAAAATAAAATTTTAAAAAATTCCACTTACAATAGCAACAAAAAGAACAAAATCCTTAGAAACAAACTTAACCAAGGAGAGGAAACACTTGTATGTCAGAAACTACAAAATGCTGCTGAAGAAATTAAAGAAGATGCAAATAAATGAAAAGACATCCCAGGTTTGTGAATTGGAAAACTTAATATTGTTAAGACGTTAATATTACTTAAGAATCTACAGATTTAATTCAATCCTTATCAAAATCTCAATGGTGTTTTTTGCAGAAATAGAAAAATTCATCCTAAAATTCATATGGAATCAGGAGGGGTTCCAAATAGCCAAAACAATCTTGAAAAAGAACAAAGTTGGTTTTACACTTCCTGATTTCAAAATTTATTACAATGCTACAATAATCATAACAGTGTGCTACTGACATAAAGAGAGACATAAAGATCAATAGAATAGAACAGAGAGCCCAGAAATAAACCCTCACACATATGGTCAAATTATTTTCTCATTCATGCATTCATTCATTTATTCATTTAAATTGAAAAATACAAATTATATAAATTTATTGTGTAAAACACTTTGTTTTGAAATACGTACACCTATTGCAATAGCTAATTAACATATTCATTACATCATATACTTATTTTTTGAGGTGAGAACACAAAATCTACTCTCTTAGCAATTTTCAAGAATATAGTACATTGTTATTATTATAACTATAGTCACCATGTTGTACAGCAGGTATCTTGAACTTATTCCTCCTAATTAGATGATATTTTTTATCCTTTGACAAATATTTCCCCCCAAACTTCTCCCCATTCCTAACCCCTGTTAACCACCATTCTACTTTCTACTTCTATGGGTTCAACTTTTTTAGATTCCCCACGTAAGTGAGATTGTGCAATATTCACCTTTTTCTGTCTGACTCATTTCACTTAGCACAATGTCCTCGAGGTTCATCCATGTTGCCCCACATGCCAGGATTTCCTTCTTTTTATGGCTAATAATATACCTGTGTGTGTGTGTGCACACGTGTGTGTGTGTGTGTTACATTTTCTTTATCCATTCATTCAATGATGAACACTCAGGTTATTTCCATATCTTGCCTGTTGGGAAGAATGCTACAATGAACATGGAAGAGCAGATGTCTCTTCAGAATACTGGTTTAGTTTCCTTCAGATACATACACAGAAGTAGCATTTCTGGATTCTACAGCCATTCTATTTTTAATTTTTTGAGGAACCTTCATATTGTTTTCCATAAAGGCTGTACTAATTTACATTTTCACCAACAGTGTCCTAGGATTCCCTTTTCTCCACATCCTCCCCAACATTTGTTATCTTCTGCCTTTTTGATAATAACCATTCTAACAGGTACGAGATGATATCTCATTGTGGCTTTAATTTGCATTCTCGATTAGTGATTTTGAGCATTTTTCACATACCTGTTGGCCATTTGTATGTCTTCTCTTGAGAAATGTCTATTCAGATCCATTGCCCATTTTTAAATTAGGTTATTTGTTTTCTTACTACAGGTTTTGAATTGTTTGAGTTTCTTATATGATTTGGATATCAACTCCTTATCAGGTATATGGTTTGCAAATATTTTCTCCCATTTTGTAGGTTGTCTCTTCACTTCGTTGATTGTTTTATTGGCTGTGCAGAGCTTCTTAGTCTGTTGTAATCTCATTTGTCTCTTTTTGCTTATTTTGCCAGTGCTTTTGTGTTCATGTCCAAAAACTCATTGCCCAGATAAATGTCATGGAGCTTTTCCTCTATGTTTTCTTCTAGTAGTTTTATCATTTTGGGTCTTATGCTTTAGTCTTTAATCTAGTTTGTGTTGATTTTTATACATGGTATAAGAGTCTAATTTCATTCTTCTGCATGTGAATATGGTCAAATGATTTTCAATAAGGGTGACAAGATCATTTAAAAATTGTTAAGATGGTTAACATAAATGGTTTAAATGGCTAACATAGATTTTATGTTGTTATATTTCACCACAATTAAAATTTTTTTAATTATAAATATACGTAGGAGACCCAAACATTACTGAAATAGGCTAGTTTATATTTTCAAAAACAGGGATAGTGGTGTCAAAGAATATGCACCAAACTGTTAATATTGATCATATCTGGAGTGCTAGTTTTGGAAGGGATGCATGTGTATTTATGGAGGGGGAAACATTAATTTTTCTTTGTATGTCTCTGCGCTCTTTGACCTGATACATTGTGTATTCATTACTAGTATGTATTTTTAATTTAATAGGGTCAAAAGAAATCTACAAGCAAAAGTTTAATTAAAGGTTTTCACTGGGGCGGGGTGCAGTGGCTCACGCCTGTAATCCTAGCACTCTGGGAGGCCGAGGCGGGTGGATCATTTGAGCTCAGGAGTTTGAGACCAGCCTGAGCAAGAGCGAGACCCCATCTCTACTAAAAATAGAAAGAAATTAGCTGGACAACTAAAAATATATAGAAAAAAAAATTAGCCGGGCATGGTAGTACATGCCTGTAGTCCCAGCTACTCGGGAGGCTGAGGCAGTAGGATTGCTTGAGCCCAGGAGTTTGAGGTTGCTGTGAGCTAGGCTGATGCCACGGCACTCTAGCCCAGGCAACAGAGCCAGACTCTGTCTCAAAAAAAAAAAAAAAAAAGTTTTCATTAGTAATACATATATTGATGACTGAAGGCAAGAATATTAGTTAAAACTCTAAGGCTCTTATAACTTACACAAACTAATCATAGAAAGGCATACTTGGTTTGGAAGTTGATAAATCAGGTTATAGCCTATGTTTTGATGACACTAATATGAGTCTTTCCAACTCTGGACAAATTGTTTATAAAATTATGATCATGATTGAGTGACCACTTAGGGAGAAAATCAGTTTAGATAAACTCTACGTAAGGTTATTAAAGGACATGTATGACAAAGCGAGCCGGGACAACGCTTAGCTCAAGTGTAGTCTGTCATGTGACTTGCACAAAGAGGCACTACTGTGATTGGCTTCCATGACGAGCCCTCACTTAGTCCAGAGGGCAAAAAAGAAACATGATGAGACTTAATTGACCAGTGGCCAAATCGGGCTATTGAAATGCTATTTTTAATTTTCTAAACAACTCAGGTGTTAGCCAATCAGAGACAGACTTTGCATTTGACATCAAAGAAAGATGTTAAGTAAATATGCAGCTCTACAGAATATATAAAAGGACAGATACAGAAGGTACAGTCCAAACTCAGAAACCTCTCCTAACAGTACAATTCTCAACCCACCTCCTGACACCATGGCCTGCTGCTCCACCAGCTTCTGTGGATTTCCCAGCTTCTCCACCAGTGGCACCTGTGGCTCCAGCTGCTGCCAGCCAACCTGCTGCCAGACCACCCGCTGCCAGCCAAGCTGCTGCCAGCCAACTTGCTGCCAGACCACCCACTGCCAGCCAAGCTGCTGCCAGACCAGCTCCTGTGGCATTGGCTGTGGCCAGGAGGTTGGCTGTGGAGCTGTGAGCTCCCGCACCAGGTGGTGCCGCCCTGACTGCCGCGTGGAGGGCACCTGCCTGCCCCCCTCCTGCGTGGTGAGCTGCACACCCCCATCCTGCTGCCAGCTGCACCATGCCCAGGCCTCCTGCTGCCGCCCATCCTACTGTGGACAGTCCTGCTGCCGCCCACTCTGCTGCTGCGAGCCCACCTGCTGTGAGCCCACCTGCTGTGAGCCCACCTGTTAAAAACCAGGTTGCTGATTACTTAAGAATGAAAGGGGCAGCACAAGAAAACTGCACTGATCTCTGAAGAAGTGTTCAATTTTACTTGGATGCCAAGTATCCTGATGCTGCTAAGCCACTCAGAGATAATGAAACTCTCTAGTCAGGACGCCAGTGGATGTGCTGAATTAGTTCACTGAAACACACATGAATCGGTGTTCTGGATACCCTGCCCTGCTTGAGCAGGGGACCAGGATGGGGTCGTTCTTCATTTCAGTAACATCTCTGCTCCCCTCCCTATTTCTTGATCCCCATTCATCTTCAGATCTGCTTTCTCCTTAATGTCCCCTGTTAATTTCAAATAAAATGTTTTAATGTGCAAAATAAACTGAGTTATGTCCTCCTTCTACCTTTAAACATGTCCTCCTATAGCTGGAATCCAAGAAGAGTACGTTTGCATTTTGCTAATAATCCCAAGGCATAAGCATAAAGTAAACCAGGAGGATTAAACACAAATTAAATTATGCTTGAATCCATGTGTTAATAAAATGCTCTGTGTATTAAATAATCTTTATAATTATTCAAACACTTAAATGCTCTAATGTATTATGATTAGGTCTAGATCAATAAAGCCACTTATAACTAAAATTTTTAGGTTGATCACAGCTATAGATTCCTCCCTAGAGGTGCTTATACCATCTTTAGTCTCCTGCCATTTAATATTCTGGATGTTCTCCTTCATTCAGGCCCAACATCTAAAGAAATTGTATTATCTACTAAATAGATTTAAAAATATCTACCAGATACTATTTTCCATGAGTATTTAGACTTAATTCCCATACCTTAGCCTATCACATTCTTCCCTCTGATCCCAAATTGTTCTCTAAGCTTCACCTCCAAATATTCACCTTCATTTACTGGGTAAGGTGTCTCTCTGGTCTGGATGAGAGTAGAACAAACACCTGTGAAGAGCAACTAGTGAGTTCTACCATCATCATTTGTCAGAAAGATGCGTTAGAAATCTAAAACCACTGTATTATATTTTTCGCTTTGCAACCCAACTTGAAAGATGGTCTTTTTAGAAGTTAACACAAACCTAGAACAACAACAAAAAAATAGTTTTACCACTAAATTTTTGAATTCTTCATTAAGAATTTTAGTATAATATTCAAAATGCACAAACATAGGACACATAAGAAACATATTTTCCAAGTTATTTACAAGCTCCCAGCACTTACCTCTATCATTTAATGGGTAGCAATGATGGATCACACACGAGATTATGCATTTCAGAGAAGAATAAAGTAGATGCTAGGTGGTATATTCTTCAAAATGTCATAAGTCCTAGATGTTTTTTCCTGAGCCTTGATTCAATTATTAAATCCAGAAAGAAATAACTCAACATTTCCTAATCTCTTTTTACAACAAATCACAAGGCTTCTTCACAAGACGTACTACAGCTTGAATGTTCTGTTTAATCATTTATGACTGGTGCTGACATTCATGAATCATGCTCTTTACTCCACCCAATCAACATTCATTGAATCGGATTCAATAAACACTTATTAAGATTCCACCAGAAGCTAAGCGCACTGCTGGACACCTTCCTATATACTACATCATTTGGTTCACAAGAAAAGATTTTTGGCCTGGAACATAAATAATATTCACACATTTCAAATTGGTTGAAATTAAAGGAACTGTAATGGTAATTTGCTATGATGTTGGAATAAATGAGGTGGAAGTTTTGAATTATGTGTGACCAAAGGTACTTCTTCAGTTCGCTGAATGTCCTGATGCCCTAAATTCAATAGAATTCCTCCAGGAGGGAAAAATAATAGTCAAAAATAACAGCACAATTACCCTTAACCTTAGTACTCTGGATAGATTATCACATGGAATAATTATCATGGAAAATGAGGGTGTTTACTTTGGCTAAAATGAGAGGACTCTTTGAACAAGGGAAACCACAAACATATTCCAAAGAGCAAAGGACTAGTATGAGGAGTCCCAATGAAACTATAAAACAAAGTAATTTCTAAATTGCTGCTCATAATGTGTCATAAGTATTTCAGTGTAAGCCAATTGGAAGACCACTGAGCAACAAATTGAAATGAAAACAAGGAAAATATGTTAAGAATTTTGTAAACAGCAGCTGGCTCAGATATATAAAAGGGCTGACATGGAAGCCACTGCCAAAACTCAGAAACTCCTCCGAGCAACCCAACTCTCAACCTAACTCCTGACACCATGGCCTGCTGCTCCACCAGCTTCTGTGGATTTCCCAGCTTCTCCACCAGTGGCACCTGTGGCTCCAGCTGCTGCCAGCCAACCTGCTGCCAGACCACCCGCTGCCAGCCAAGCTGCTGCCGGCCAAGCTGCTGCCAGACCACCCGCTGCCAGCCAAGCTGCTGCCGGCCAAGCTGCTGCCAGACCGGCTCCTGTGGCGTCGGCTGTGGCCAGGAGGTTGGCTGTGGAGCTGTGAGCTCCCGCACCAGGTGGTGCCGCCCTGACTGCCGTGTGGAGGGCACCTGCCTGCCCCCCTCCTGCGTGGTGAGCTGCACACCCCCATCCTGCTGCCAGCTGCACCATGCCCAGGCCTCCTGCTGCCGCCCATCCTACTGTGGACAGTCCTGCTGCCGCCCACTCTGCTGCTGCGAGCCCACCTGCTGTGAGCCCACCTGTTAAAAGCCAGGTTGCTGATTTTCAATTGCCCAGGACACAGTATCTGTGAACTATTCTTCTCTTGACCACTGGACCAAGTTCTGAGAATTCTCTTTCATTTTCTGTTGTGGGGGCTACCAAGTATATAAGCCTCATAGTTTTATCTGATTCCATTCTACAATGAATACCTTGACCTTTCCCTGGGGATGCAGAAATGCTGCACACTCACTTGCTGATCATCAAGTTACTTCAGATACACAATTTCTGCTATTTCTGCAAGATTAAAAATCACTGACATGTTCTGGAATTTATCCATGAGAACTGTCCACAGTCTAACTTTTTTCCTGATTTATGATCTATTTTTATCTTCTGTTTATCTACATTTTTTCCCAAGATCAAAGGCACCAACATATAGCCAAGTGGTATTCCTCAGATGTCAACAGAGAGAATAGAAGCTCTCCAGCCAACATTCAGCTTCTGAACCAAGAAGTAAGCTAGATTTTCCACATTTTAACATCTGATCCTTTCCTTGGCTTTTGGAGCAGAATGATTTTGCCTGTTGGCTATTTCACTTATATCTATGATACAATGTCTTCTGTCATTTCTCAATAAATGTTATATACTGGGCAAACAAACCATAGTCTGTTGCTACTTGTACATCACATGATTTAACTGCTTATAATTCAAGAATGTCTACTTGAAAGAAATTCATTTGTTTGTTTTTCACAGAGAATGAAGTCATATAGAGTGAATTTATTCATTCATTCCATAAAAATGTATTGACTGCCACTTCTAAAGCAGGGACAACAGAGATCAGAAAAATGCATGGTTAATTCTTATGCCTGAGTACTTTACTATTCAGAAAGAAAAAAAAGATATTATGAGAATAGCTACATCAAATGTAATGAGATAGGTTGTATTGTCTTAGCAGTTGGTAGAATTCCTCTTACGGTTATGGATTCCAATATGCCTTGACAGGTCAACTGACACTAGGTATGTCCCCATGGGACATGCACGTTGGCAGCCCCGAAATCATAAGAGATGGATGTGAAATGATTACACGCGAGACAGAGAAATAGTTTTACTCCAATAAGGAAGTGAGGAGAAAAGAGAATATAATCCTCAGGGTGGGTCAACGTTCCTCTGAAAACCAATGAAGGAGCTGAGTTTTGCACTGGAGTTGATTCGTGGGAAGATGGAAAACAGCCGAGGAGCCAAACAGAGCAGGGAGACCACAGGAAAGTAATGCCTCAGGAACTTTCAGAAATTGTGCAGAGGCTTTGGATTGTCACTGCTATGGGAAGTAATATCTTGATTACGTACACTGCAAAGAAGACGACAGAGGGCCAGAAAGAGGGTTTCAAAAAGGAGCAGATCGCTTCACTTTGGGACCAGCAGGGGCTCTGCGGTGGGGGCAGCACCAGGGAGAGTTTCACAAGAATGTGACTTTGAAGGGGCCTGGGAGGTCACTCCAAATGGAGAGAAAAGAAGGAGTAAAAATGAGCCCAACCTACAACCTATTAGAATGGCTTAATCCAAAGCAGTGACAACATCAAATGCTGGCAAGGATGTATAGAGCAACAGGAACTCTTATTCATTGCTGCTGGGAACACAAAATGGTACAGCCACCTCAGTAAACAGTTTAGAACTTTCTTACAAAGCTAAACAGAGGCTTACTGCACAATCCAACAACAGTGTTCCTGGGTATTTACCCAAAGGAGCTGAAAATTTATTCTTCACAAAGACCTGCACATGAATGTTTAGAGCAGCTTTATCTGTAATTACCAAAAATTGAGAGCAACCAAGATGCTTTTTAATAGGTGAACATATAAACTGTGGTACATCTATACAATAAAATGGCCTCTGAGAAAGCTGTCCTTTCTTGGTAAAAGGGACATGTATTGCTGGTGCTCTCACGTCCTCTTCACCCCAACTCTTCTTCATACTTGAAACACAGATATAATGCCCAGAGTTGCAAAATCCCAAGAGAATGAAAGAGACACTGATCCCGATGTAGTTGAGCATCTGAATGAACACTAGCAACTTCCTATCTGTGAAAAGAATAAGCCCTATTCGATCAAGCCAATATTTGTCAGCTTTTTCAAAACTTAAAGCCTAGACTATTCCTAACCATTACACTATGCAACAGACTGCGGAAAGCTCTCAAAATGGCAATGTCCTGTATATGACACCTAAGTAGACTCGAGGTGCAGTGATGGTAAAAAGACATAAAATTCAAATTCCAATGTAAAAGTGGGAGAGTTTCTTTTGTGGAGGATCATTGACCATGTGAAGGAAGGTGGACAACAAAAGTGATAAGGGTGGATTGATGTATAAAAGGATGGAAGAAAGAATGAAAA